CTCATTAGTGATAGTGGTAGCAGGATGAACTTACCTGAAGGAAAAATACACAACGATGACATTGACTGACGGTGGCACTATAAACAGCAAACTGATAGAAGTTAGAATTTATACGCCGCTGAATTCCAACCTGTTGGCAATAAGTTCTCCTTGCAGCCTGAACGTTTTGAGTTCTATCATGGGTGCGTATTGCTGAAGAGTCCGGAAGTAGGACGAAGCATGTGTCTAGTACTCCCTGGTCTCTCTAACTTGAAATCAATCAAATGCCTACAAATTAACGCTATACTTAAGAAACAGTCATTTATGGATATTACATTGTTATCTTGGTTGGAGTTCTCCATGAATGAAGATATTTTCTGTCGAAACTGTTGGATCTTTTTTGTATTGATTATATAAATTAAGATAGGTGTCAGTTCAATGCAAATATGAATAACTTATTAGCATTATTATTATTCCCTAATATAATATATGAATTATTATCCCTGTTATCAGTATGCATAATCTAAAAAGACGCCTCATGCAATATATTTCGGGTTGAAATTATGTATCCTAACTGTGAATAAATAACCGTCAACTGGGAAAGCTGTTTCTGTCAAATACGCACAATTCTTGACAGGTGACTTCGTTATTATTATTACTATTACTATTCGCTCCTGATACATATTCACATAATCCGAATTAGCATGATTACATAACTAACACTCCTGCTGCTGCTACTACTACTACTACTGATGGGGATGACGCTGTGATTTCAGGGGTGATAAGAAGGCGAAAGAGGACGAGGAGGAGGATGGAGAGACAGTCTCAAATATCCAGTGAACTGTAATGATTGTGTCATTCATCAGCACTGATATTCACATGCAAACGGCATCAATCATCATCGACATCAAATTGAAACGGAACAAAGAGGGGAAAAAAAGAGTAAACTAATGTGAAATTAAATAAATATATCATCAAATATTCAGAAATTCAAAAGAAGTGTAAATTCATAAGAATTAGGGATTATTTTTTTGTTGTTGTTCATAATACGAGAAAGAAAAAGAAAATTAGATACCAGATAAGAATTAACTGAAATGTTTAGTCTCAGTCAGTCAGTCAGTCAGTTAGTAAGTTGATCAGTTCAATCAAGCGGATTTAATCTCCCTGTCTCTCTCTCTCCCTTCCAAGCCTCAAAGGTATCTAGATGTAATCTTGCGTGAGTATGTACATGTTTGTCAATGTGTCTATGTGTGTGTGTGTGTAAACAATTCAGGGAATAGTCAATAACAGTAATAGTAATAATAATAATAATAGAAGTGACCACTATCACTACATTTCCATTGCTGAAATCTCGTATTCTTCCGAAAACTTCAAATAAAACATGTCATGAATTCATGAAAAATGAAAAATGAAAAGAAAAGAAAGCTACTGTTTATTGTCGTCATTTTGTAACAGCGCCAAGTCGCCTTCGACCTGATCCTTCCATTAAATGAAAGTCCATTGTTAATAGAGGGTAACAGGGTTTTATTGTTTGCGATGGATTTATAACGAGGGGCATTCCTATTTTGTCTTTTTCTTTACTTCTGTTGCCTTTTATAAATTTTATTGTGTGTGTTTGTATTCATTTTAATCTTGATAACAAATCTCTTACAGGATCACGAATGAGCCCTCATTGAACGGTACCTAACTAGGCCGAAAACAACTAATTGTTGCTCTTTGTATAAATCATTCGTTTTCTAGTTGACATTTGAGATAAGTAACGAAATATACCCGTAAATATTGTATGAGGAAACTACAGATGGTACGGACGAGGATGTGGATGGCAGAATCAGAAAAGCAAGACAAATCTTCATTATTCGAGTGCTGGTTTGCGCTGATTTGATTGGTTACAGGATTTCATCATTAGCTGACATCAGTCAGAGAACCACTGAGAAACCACCAGGGAGTAGTGGGGAGCTGTTTCGTCCCACTCGTTTTAGGCTCCTTAGCACTACACATCCACTGGGATTCGAGCTCAGAGAGTGAGTTCGAATGACCAGCCCACAAATTCCTACTTGTGCCAATTCACGCACGATATAGTGCGACTGGTACTAGCCAATGTCATCGCTGGTGAGTATTTGTCGTCACACGCGACCCACTGTACCTCAAGGGTGAACCCCACAGGTCACGACTTCTCACTGACTAGTGTCAGTCACTAGTGAGCATCAGATTAATTGATGACGGGAAGGTCCTGAGTTTGAACCCTGGAGGTGGGTGACTACTGCTCAAACTAGGCTGACAAAACAGCTATCCATTACACCCTGCAGGTTTTCTAGTGGTTCTCTAACCGATATCAGCTCATGGTGAGATCCTGTAACCAGTCAAATCCCTACAAACCAACACTTGAATATCAAATTTTTATTATTAGTTTTATAATTTGGAAGCTCTTCACCTGGAATTTTGCAGTTATCAAATTATTGTACATGTAGGTAACATCAATCTTCGCCTGTCTAATTCATTATCGAACCAAAAAAACTTCTTGAATTATCTGAGATACATTTGTTTGAATAAATCCCTTTTTATACGATAGCATTTGAACGCAGAAAGGTGGTTTAAACTTCCTTTAGGATGCGGCCCTAACACGTCTTACAGATATGTTTATAAGACGTGTAAACATCAATTTTATTTCCTGTCTCTATAATATGCCTCGCAATATAGAGGATCTAGGTCGTTTGTTGTCACCATTAATGGGTTCTGAAGATTATATTTGTTTCTGGAGCCATTTAGGAATATGCTCTGAAGCCCTTACTTGCAGAGATCGATGAGTCCTTCCTGCGTATTTGTGACCATACGTACATTTAAACTGGTAAATACATTGGGATGTGACATCATTTTTCATATTTACTAAGGGCTTAGATGGATATATGGACTTCAAGTTCTCAGTTATTCTGATCTTAGCTGTAGAAAAAGTCTTTTTAACCGCAGCGTTCAATCTTTGTGGAGTTAACAAGCTGCTGTGATCACCCATATAGCGTAGACTGATATATACGTCTTTCTTAGTGGCGAGTTGGACAGTGGATCTTGGTGTTGTGACCACTATAGTCTACAACGTAAGACCAAATGGTACAAAGGGCGTCAGGTTTCGGCATTTGTGTAATGCGGAGGAGTTGGCAATTCGTCAATACAACCCCGAACTCTGTTTACCGAGAAAGTTTGTTCAGTCTCTTATCCTACCATGATCTTAACCTCTTCATTAATCGTTCCCTGTACATTTTATTATTTGTTTATTTTTAATGATTACTTTGATTTTATTTTAATAATTGATTCACTGTTATCAATCCCACATGTCCCTTTTGTATATTTTCTCACCCTTTTCACACTTATTGATTGGATACGCAAGTATCTTTTTTCTGACTCAATAACAATTTTAACCTTATCAAATTTTTAATGTTTTCTTCCTTTGTGCCGTTGAGTATTACATAATTTACTAATTTTATTTTTACTTTTGAAGCCCCTTCTAAGTAATTATATCAATTATGTTACCCAACCCCCACCTCCTATTACTCAATGACGGACCTCTACATATTTCTATGGTATACGAGCTTTCCTTTTAAGCTGAAGGTATTGGGTTCAAACCCCAGTGGGTGCATACTGCCGATAATTCCCAAACTAGTGGGATGAAACAGCTATCCAGTACTCCCTGGTGGCTTTCAATAAATCAACAAATACGACTGTACAGCCTTGGAAGATGATTCCATCGACAAGGAAAATTTTCTTCGCTGAATTGTCTTTTATTTTCTTCATGACGGTAGCATTTATCTTAAAAAAATCGAAAGTATTCCAGTGAATTTTTTTGGAATAAAATTCCCTATCTATAAGTGTTAATATGGCAGCAAATAAATCCTACCTGTTCGTTTACGTAACAGAATATATATATATATATATATTTATATATAATTTGCCCCCTTCCTATTCATTTATAAATCGATAACGGAACTATATAGTCTTTTCATTTAATGGGAGGGAATGTGTTCCTATAACAACATTTTCTAATCACATGACCTCTCAGTAGGCGTTACTACAGTGTCGTCTAACATGTTCTGGTCAAACACACAAGGCATAGTTACAAATCTGTAGTATGTTTGTGTGTGTATGTACGTGCGTAAATTCAGACTCAAAACTATTATTATTAAGGGTGAGGAAATTTTTGCAAAGATTCTGTTGACGCAGTTATTCCTGTCTGTTAGGTGTGATTGACCAATAATAAGAAAGAAAGCTGTCTCAATTAACAACCACCTTTTATTTTTCCATTTACCAATAGAATTACAATTTTCACTTGGTGTGTGTGTGTGTCTATTATTATTAGTAGTTAGTTAGTGTTATAAGGGTGAGAAGTAGAGTGTTGTATTGGGTGAGACGGAAAATTAGTTTAAGCAGCATGATGATATGTGATGATGGTTGAATTAAGGCCCCACCTACTACAGGTGTATACACACACAGCTTAGAAGAAAAAATAGCTGATCTACAACGCACGCACGCACGCACCAACGCACACCCACACTCACACACACGTGTGTGTGCACCATACACAAACACAAGCGTGCATTAAATCATTGGCATATTTTCAGGAGAAGAGGAATAAAAATGTCATCGAAATGTCAGCAATATGGAACAAATTAGTCTGCCCCACTCTCTTTCTCTCTGTCTCGCTCGCTCTATCTATCTATCTATCTAGTCAGGGCTTTAAACACCTGCATTCCTAATTGGATACTTATATATAAATAATATCTTACGCCTTTTATAAAAGTCACGCCAGAAAAGGTGCCGACTTTACACACAAGTTATCGAATGTTAGCTGTTTTCTACCCCAAAAGACATTTTTTTATCCTCATTCCTTGGACAATTATTTTCAAAAGCATATATATACATAAATACAAAATAAACTTCTGTAAATTCACATCTTTCAGAAACCCAGTCATTTAAGTTTTCAAATTTCCCGCTAAAAATTATACTAGACATATTTTCTATGTGTTGAATACAAAATGACTTTCAATTCTTCGACTGAACAGCTGATAAATTTGTCCCACAATAATCACAACAATAATCTTAATTCATCACATAACGAGACTCGTAATTTCCGTGTGAATTCAATGCTTGGTGGATTACCAAATTTAATGGGTTTACAAGCAAATACTTCATCAATATCTCATTCATCATTGAATGTTTCTTCAAATCTGGATTCTCAATCTACTCTGTCAATATCTGCAGCAATGAATGCAGCCGCAACAGCAGCAGCAACAGCTTTATATGGGCAGCGAAATCAACAGTCAATGATGAAATTCCCATTGCCACCATGGTTGTCGAATCCTTTATGGGATAGAAAACATTGTCTAGATTTATCGTCTAATTTTGGATTATTCCCCAATGGAATTGATAATAATCTCAGCGAAATGGATAAGCGTAACGATAGTTTGCCTGATTTTTCACTTGGTGACAATTACAAATCAGAGCCTGTTCGTCCAGTTTATAAGAGTCCAAGTCAAACAAATGTTACAACCGGACCAATAGTTACATCACCTGGTCAAGAGTCGAATAACTCAACTCAATCATCATCTACAGTTGGAGAGATAACTCAAAGGCAGTTAAATCCATCCTCGTTGTCAAATCGTTTTTCAACCTCAGATTTAAATAAACAAACTGATGAAATTATTGTAAGAGATGGTCAGCTGGTAAAGACACGTTTAGATCATTCTTTACACAACACTTCATCAGTAGTTAATAATAGTTCGAATACGTCTACTTTTACGCCACCGACGACTCCACCCGCTGGTACTTCTGTCTCTATATCTCCTGTGATGTGTGATGTTCAAAGTATGAAAATGAATTATTCACAATCAGCTATGGCTATGGCAGCAATGGCTGCAGCTGCGATAGCTACCAATAACTTCAAGATGTCGTCAACAAGTACTTCAATGAATCAAACAACTATTACGAATAGTACTAATAATAATAGTGGTAATAGTAATAGTAATAATAATAATAATACCACGCCTGATATTGATTCAATTATGAATGCAGTCGCTGCAGCAGCTTCAGTTATGGGATCACACTTATTACTCAATCATAATAATACTAGTCATAATAATAACAGTAATAATATTGTTTCTTCTACAAATACTAATACTACACACACTGGTATTAATAATCGTTTAATAAATGACTGGAAAATGCATTCATCAATAAAAGACCAAGAGATGAATAAACTTAGAAACACGTCAACTTCATCATTGTTGACAGATTTCAAGTCGTGTACATCTTCATTGTTAATGCAACCGAATTTCGATGCATCCCTGGGAATGGATTCATCGAATTTATCATTATCATCATCAGCATCATCATCATCACCACCAGAATCATGTGGAGTTAGACCTGAAGTTGAACTAGTCGATAAGTCACTATGGGATAAATTTCATTGTCATGGAACAGAAATGGTGATTACTAAGAGTGGAAGGTAAGTAGTAGTATACCCTCTTTTAATATTCAGTTACGATGATTATTTTCTTTATTGTTCATGAATAAATAAGAATTTTGCAATGGTGGAGGATAACCCCACCCCTCCCCAATAACTCTATCAATAGTGAATGATCTTCATTGTTCATTATTGATTCACTTTGTTATTTACTTATGAATGATTAAGTTTCTAGTCTCATCTTTCACTAAAGTGACGATGAAGTGTATTCACTGTTGTGTAAAAGAATACTGAGACTAAAACTAGAAGTAGAACAATATTTGAGGTTTTAGCAGTGATGCTAAGTCAGTCGGTGCTTCTGTATTCTTTAGTGGCTTGCACTATCGTTACGAATAGCATTTCCAACAGGCTACTGCAGAAGAGATCATTGAGTGACGTCACTCACCAGCTTTTAGAGTGGAAGCCAAGTGGCAAACGAGAGAAAAGTTCGGGATAGTTGTGAGGGTGACATGAAGGAGGCGTAAGGAAGAAATGAAAGTGTATGGGGGAATTGTGAAGCTACCTAAGAAAGACTACGGTGAACATGGTGAAATGCTTACTTCCTACTGAAATCCTTTATTCCACTTGAAATCCAAGGGAATAATAATGATGATAATAAAACCAATGGTTGGAGAAGAATAAGAGGATATTGTTTTATTTTGTCGGTTTGTCATGAGCATCATATAACTTTGTAAATTTTCGGAAGTAAATTTGACTTACTTTCAAAGGTAAAATGGTGTCATTTTACAGGCCACTCCAAAAATAGTAAACAAAGTGTTCTCAAAAGTTACACTTATATTTCATATATATAGAGGAAAAGATCATGTGGTCGAATAAAATTGAGAATTAGGAGAGACTGAGTGATCAGTATAAAGAAAAACTGATCACTAATTCTCTCAGAACACAAATCAGGTTTCAAACGTTTGGTTGCAGCTGAATCTCATCAAACTTGAGAGGAAGTGAATTGTATCGCCCACTAATTATCCCTTAAAAGACTTCAAGATCCCTACTGTATAAACTCAAAGCCTGGCGATAGCACTTTTGAAAAAATTTATTCCTTTGAGACATAGTCTTTTCTGTACATATTCAAACAGTCTAATGTGTGACCTTTGTTCTTTGTTCTCCCGAAGAAAATGCACCATAGATACATGTAAATTTGCTCACATAGGATTTATTTTCTACCACTACTGAATTAAGAAGGGATAAGAAGATTTTCAATGAATGAGACTGTCAGAGATAGACTTCAATTGGCAGACTACCATTAATATAATACACAAGGACTAAAAATTTACTGGCATGAAATGAAATCAACAGTCTGACTCTGACGAATTATTCAGAGCACGCCTATCCACAACAGTGTGTAAACGCTAACAGTGCAAACAGTACATTGACATTAGTTGGAGTACATACAGTCTTCAACAGGTTATTTCAATATATATATGGTTCACGTTTTTGTATCAACTTCAACGTAGGTTTCAGCTAGAGGTCACTGAAAATCAATGGACACTGAACAGCTGTTTCGTCCTAGTTTGGGACTATTCATCAGTGTGCACTCACGATCATAATAGGGATTGGACCCGGGAACTTTAGGCGAGTGCGCAAATGTCTGGTGATCCTTGGTTTTTAATGATCTCTAACTGATTTTTGTCAGTGACGAAATCCACACTGAAATTAATTCAAATCCCTATAAAAACCAACAATCAAAGTTTAAACATATTCGTATAAGGATAAAATGAATCTGATGGAACGAATATCGTAATTATCAAACTGATAATAATTAGTAGTATCTAACTGGTTTTCGTTTCTATATTTCCTCAGATCAAATAACTTTAGTAATGGTGATATCATTGATACGAAATCAATCTGGTTGACAATAATAATATTTTCTGAGCATGGTCTTTCAATAAATTAAGTAGAAGTTTAACTAACTTCAACTTTTTGAAAACTGTCTTCAAATGTTCACAAAATATGAGACTGGTATCGTGAAGTTTTATTCTAAAGATTACTAACCTTCCAATAAAGTGATTGAAAAAGCTCATGTATATTTAACCAACGAACTAAACACATATTATATTCTGAATTGTCCCCAAATAGGGATTCACCATCGAAGTAATTAGGATTACATTGACTGGCAGTGGTGCTATGTTGTCACTAATTGGGAGAAATACGAGTTCGTGAACTACTGGATTCTGTTTCACTGGGGGAGCTGTAGTGTACTCGTTTCAGCCACCTGGATGGGGTCATGAGTTCATACTGCTGAAAGCAGTTCAAAATTAGGACACCTGAGGCCCTACGTAGGATTCTTAAATAAAGCAAAAATTAGGGTGGCATTCAAACCTACAAACTCACTCAGAGATAAGCTTTGTAGGCGAAAGGACCCGGTGGACCCAATCAAACAAAATAATACCTTGCAGTGACTGTGAGTTAGGTCAACTACATAGGTCAAACTAGTAGATCAGGAGTAGTCAGATTATCAGAACATAAGAATTTAGCTAAGGTTAGAATGATTGTTCACACTGCATGCATCAACACACAACCATACAATAGAATAGGACAGAGTTAAAATTCTAAAAGGTAATATAGGTAGTTTGGGAGAGAGAGAGACTTCTATTGCATGTGTTGTGTTGGTTGAAGACTCGATGAACCAGGCAGGATACAGTAATCAATGACTCAACACAAATACCAGAGATAAGGAAGATATTATTACCACCAGTCAAATCGGAGGATAATAAGTAATGTTAAAATGTATTTCAATTCATATTATAACATTCTAACAAGTTATTTATTTTACTATAAAAAACATCTTATTCCCATCTTAGTGTATTTGACTGATTGGTTACGAATGTACTTTATCTTCCTTTCTGTTTCCCGCAAGTCTTATATTAATTTTATTCAAATGTCTAATCATAAATTTTTACTCATGTATATAAACGAAGCAAGAAAGTTGTGTGAGTATCTTGATATGTTTATGAGTGGCAATAAATTGTGCTCGAAACGTGGTCATCAGTAAATATTACTGTATAACACTGTGTGATTTTATCAAAAATAAAATTTCATCCATAATGGAATTATACTCTACCACCACAGTGCCCAAGTTTTATCCTTATATCAATAGGACCAAACCACTGTAATAGAGAAGATGTGTAGCTCAGGTGGATGATTTACAATTAGTTGTGTTCTCTGAGCTGGTTGGTTTAATTGCCGAGCTTTCGTCGTCCCCCTTCTAGACAACATCCCCATTCAGCGCAAGGTTTTAGTAGCATAAAATGAATTCAGTGGAATTCTCCATGAATGATAGATGGAATTGTGTCTCCTGGCAACCGTCTTCATGACTGGCAGTCGACATACATTTGTATTGATCACTGACTTGGATTTGAAACTTTCAAAGATTCAAATTCAGTTATATCATTCATGGAGAATTTAAATCAGTTCAATTTATGCTAAGACTTGCACTGAAGGGGGACGGTGAAAGCTCCGCAATTAAACCAACCAGCTCAGAGAACACTACTATTAATTGCAAAACTAAACTCCTGTATCCAGTACCTCTTGGTTGTCACTGGTTCTTAAAATGATGTCGGTTAGCAATCGAATCTAACTGTGAGAAATTGGGCTTTCAGTTATTTGGTGCTTTAAAGCTGTTGAGCAAAAAAGTTTCATCTAATGATCAGATAAACAACACAGACAGGCATTTTCAATTAACAGGAGAAAAAAGAGAGAGCGTTAATCCACAATTAACGATGAACATATAACTTATCTTGTCGTAGTGGTAGTATAAGAAAAAAACACAACACGAACAGATAAAACAAGATTTAATTGTAGAAAACCTTTTTCTCACCTACAGAAAAATCTAACTGGTCGATTTTCAAATAATCAATTTTCCGCCATTTATATAACATTAAGAGCAATAAATTACGAAGTTTGACTTAATTATCATGCAGGGATTCGATTGGTCACAGATTTGATCATGGGATGGCATCAGTTAGAGAACCACTCGGGAACCAGAGAGTATTGGATTGCTGTTTCGCTCTAGTTTGGAACTCTTCAGCACTACGTGTTCATGGGGATCGAACCCAAGACCTCCCAGTCAAAAGGGAAGATTGTAGAGGATTGGATTGGGTCGCATTGGCTGAATGGTCTACGAGCTCACCTTGTGACCGGAAGGTCCTGGGGTCGATCCCCGTTAGACAGGGTCACGGAAACGCCTGCTAAAGAGTATCAATCTAGAGCAAAACAACTGTTCAGTACTCTCCGGCTTTCAGAGTCTCTCTAACCGATGTCACCTCATAGTCAAACGTCTATTTAGGCTTCCTTGAAATGAATCTCAGTCACTGGAAATGGTTATCAGCTACATTAAAGTCGGTTATTTAACTGATTACTTCTGAAAACTCAGAAATGAAACTAGGAGCCATTACTGATTAATCCGTCTTTACTTACTTCCGACAACAGCAGAGAACCACTAAATCATGTACCTTCAAATTCTAGAATTATAATATACAATCCTTAAAACTAACAAACCAACTTCGACACTGATTTCATCACGAAGCAGCATCAGTTAAAGAATCTTTAAAATATAAGCAATTCTGAACAGTTGTTTGACCTTAGTTGGCAAATCTTCAGGGGTAAGCATCCATAACCCCACTGGGGAAGGAACCATGGACCTTCAAGTTACTAGGCAAGAAGTGTTAGAATCCAACTTCAGTCAGTTTGCAATGCAGAGCTACCTCCAACTATTGCCGTCAGTGAGCATCCACTTCACGTTCAACGTAGTAGAACCTACCGGCTAGGACTTCTTACTAGAACATCGAGGCACGCATCCTGTATTCACCGATGTTAAGGAGTCTGGTATTCAAACCACTTTGGTTTGTAGGGATTTCAATTCATTTTAATATGGATTTCATTACGAACCACTATAAATTACAAAGCGCTGCTGATGAATCCGGCGCTTAAACAAAATAGTTGCCCACTGCTCCACAGTTTTCAGGGATTCTATAAGTAATGTCACT